CAGGATCTTTCATTCCGGAAACTAAACCCACAATCAATGCGCCTCACCTTCGCCTATGCGATCCATACAAAGACCAAAAACACGGTGGTGGTTCCCATCATTCCAACGAATCTGCCTTCGTGTCAAGGTTGGCCCGATGCTGTCTAGCGGCATTGTGGCGGGCGCATCTTGGAGCCTTTAAGGGCAGGCAGAAAGAAATCCTTTCACATAAGTAGATATACATGTTCCTGATACTGTATTCTATTCTTTGCAGAGTTTGACACCGCAAGCCAGAGTTGCGCTGCATTGTGGTGATGAGACACCTTTCTTTGCGGATTTTGAAGCAATTGTGCCTGTTTCATGTGGCTTGTGCCTGAGAATTCTTGGTTTTCTCACATGCCCCTTCATTGGCCCTTCCATAGCAAGGAGGTGAATTTGGTGTCACAACGTGTAGGAAGGGATCTTCCTCGCATACCTGCAACGGTTGCAGGATCTTGCTTTTTAGACCCTAAACCTAACCAGAGGCCCCAACCACATTCCTGTTGATATTCCTGATTTGCATAATGCCCGCCAATACTTGATGCCTTCCTCGGATAAGGCTTCAGTGAAAACAAGGGCCCCCCCTGTAAATACCTATTTGTTTTAATCCTTTTTTCTGGTGATGTTTAAGTTTTTGGAAACCCCAGTATACGTACTAGAAAACCATGCATCATCTCTGCGGTGTCCAAAGCTAAGGCACGGGGCCTACTACCGCTGCAGCATCTCCTGTGTCTTCCGGGGCGAAGACAATTGCCCTGGACCGGTTCCTGGCCTCATCACGTCGGATTGAGAATTATTTGCCCTAGATCCCTACATTCCCCCAGTTTCCATTCCATGTTCCAATTCATTGTCCATGTTCTTTTCCATTTGATTCTCCACTATACGGCGATAATAGAGTAACTTGAATTAAGTTCCTTGACAGCATGTCCCATGTTTGAACCCTAACCCCTTCACCGCTGTTTGGAGGGTCTTTGCAGCAGCCCTTTGGGTCTAGTAAAGGGATTTTGCGCCTGACAGAGCTCTGAGTCCGCAGGAGGGAGAAGGGATTGTGATTCCATCCTTCTATTTTCTTTTCCATTATCCCTATATAACCCCTATATACTATAGTAGTTCCCATTTTATTTTCCATTACCCCAATATAACCCCCGTACTATTGGGTCTCAAGTAGGTTTGGACTGCAAGGTTGCATAGTCTAAGAATGCAGAGGTCCTTCTGTTGAGTAGAGCGTGGAGCTTCCACAAAATCTTGGGTCCTTGGCTGAGCATTCCGCCAATCAGGGCCTTTCTGCAGATGGGGGGTTTCCCAAAATTAGCGTTACCCTTTTTGGGGGTCCCCATAATAAGGACTATAGTATTTTGGGGGCGATATTAGGGTCCCCTTGTTTTGGGAAACTACCAGATGCAGGATTCCACAGCTTTCCTGTTTTCGGCTTTTCCAGCTGGATCACGACGTGGCAAATAGCTTCATGTATGTGTTACCACAAGGTTGTGACATTGTTCCGGCAGTTCGCTGGGCACTTTGCGGGAAAGGCTGGCGGTTTTCAAAGCACAAGCCAAGCCATGCTCAGGATATGTCAGACTGGCCATGTGTTTTCCTGCCTTTTCTTGTGCCCTTGCACAGCAAGCACGCGCAAGGCAGCTACAGAGCATCAGCTCCTGACGGCCTTGCATGACGCCATCACCGGGGTACAAACTGAGACACAGCCGGCACGGAGAAATCGTCCGGCACGGAGAAATCGTCGGCTTGGCAAACGCGCTTTCAGCCATTCAGCTGCATGTTGCTGGACATTCACTGCTTCGATTTCTACATGTGCCTAGAATTCTTGACAGTCGTGGCGCTGCTTTCTTGCTTTTGGGTTCGAGGTGTGCGGCACCCTGTCAGCAGAGACGAAGGCCTTTGGTCACTTCTCTCTATTGGAAATTCGGAGGACTCCGCAACGCTGCCGCCATGTGGAAAGAGCATGCAACCACAAACCGACTGAATGAAATTGGGGCATGCCCAAGCGAAACTTGTGATGTCAGATTGTTGTGAAGTACCTCCACGCCGCGAAGCCGAGCTTACATGCGCTGTGGAGCACATTGAGCGATCACTGCCTCAAAAATCAGGATTTACAGGAGACTACAGAGATGATTTCGGAAATCCTGAATGGAGCGGACTCGGATTGTCAGCCCCGCTCATACAATCAGTACACACTCCGTAGACATTCATAGACATTCCCACATTCCCATCAGAAAAGCGTGCAGCCGCTTTGGAGAGGATAGGGTGGCCGAGTTGTTCATTGAATCTGGAGGTGGCGCAGAGACGAGCAAGGGGTTGCTCCCTAGTTGCAGCTTCAGATGCGCCCAAGATGATGACTGCGCCTGCCCCCAAATCATTAGACGCTCCTTCCCAACTAAATGTCTTCCTTAACTCCGGTCGGTACTGCTGGGTGTGGGAAATGAGAGATGTTGGTCAGAAGGGCCCACAAATTGAGCAGACGAGTTGCATGATGTTAGATCGTTCCCTTCATACAGAGATGCGCAATGGCAGCATCATCCTCCCCAAGGCTCACATCCCTTAATGGACAGGCTGGTATCAGCTGAGGGTTTACCATCCGAGTTTTTGGCTAGCAACTGGTGGGCTGAGGCCCCAGCGATCCAAACTTTCCATAATGGAATCAGATGGAGAAGAAACGGAGAATTAAATGCGGACTGCATTGTAAGGCGGCAAATGACAGTGATTTCACAGTTCAGCTTCATTATTAGCACGGTATTTTTCTTTTCTAACATGAATATAACATAAGAGGTTCCATTTCCCCTTTTGCCGTGAAGGTTACAAACGCTTCGGGCAAGGGGCTGCAGAGCAGAAGCCTTCAGGAACATAGAACGGATGTTGGGAGGTTGTTGCTCCTTTGCTTTTGACCTATCTACGTAAAAGATGATACTCAAGTGTACTTTCCAAAACAGGTCAGCATGCAGTATGTTCTAGGTCAGGGTCTTGCTTTCCTTGTTGGCCCATTGATGGACCTGCAAGCTTGGGAGGGGCTGCTGTTAAGGAAATTGAGTTAAGTTACCACAAAACAGGTATACAGTAGATACTCAGGTTTCCTTATTATTATACTAACTTAACTTAAGTTCCGTAACAGCAAACCGGAAGACTGAGAAACGACGAGATTTTGAGCCTGTCGGCTGCCGAGACTGGCTTGCAGGCGAAGGGCGCGGTGCATAGGGTTTAAGGTTTAGGGTTTGAGGGTTTAAGGCTTAGGGTTCAGGGGATCACAAGGCAGATAATGTAGAGGCTTGAATCATTACCAACCTCATGGTCCTAGACTGCTTGTAGAATTCTGGTACAGGATCCCTTATACAAAACCTCCAAATAAAGTGGGTAGTTATTAAGGCCCCTCCAGTTGGCAGGCCTAGATCTTTGCGAAACTTGTACAAGGCCACAAATCAGCCCATAGCTTTTTCATTGGTTGTTAGGAGGGAATGAGGAAAATATTATATATGGGTTATATTAGGATTATATTCTCCTATTCCTTACTATCACCCCATACATGTCTGTGATTGTGTTCGAGGAGGGGTTTGGTGTTGCGTGCACGGTTTTTAGGCAAGGATGTTATGGTCACTCAAGGGCTCAAAAACATCTTCTTTATGTGGAAGTCAAGTACAGTAATCAGGCTACAAGCTTTCTAAATCCATCAGATTTCAGACATACCTTTTCGCGAGCGTACGTCCCAAGCCTTGATGCTCATAAAGCGTGGCATGCAAGCCGAGAGCAAGCAAGCGAGAGAGCACATCAGTAGTTTGGGTCGGCCCAGGAAATTCAGACCATACTACAACTAGCATTCAGCGCTAAGATCCCCATCATGCCCCTAATGATCCAGATTAGTGATTAGTGGCACGCATGCGTAGCTGTTTGAAGGTCCTCCTAGTGCACCTCGCTCCTCCTGGAACGCGGCCAACGTGCGCTCGCAGCCTGCGGGCCGCCGCAGCGCAGGGCTTGGAGGCAGCAAGTCCTGCTGATACCTGGCGACAAGGGTGGTTCGAGTTCTCACCCTAGTTTTCATTAACAGCAACATCCCGTCAACATCCCTGGTGGTCGAAGTCTTATTCTGTTGGTCATCCTCCTCGTCGAGGGGAATCATGTGATTGCCGCCGTCGCCTTTGCTGCTGCTGCTGCTGCTGCAGCATGTGTAAAATTATCCTGTAAGTTGCATTTTAGATTGGAGCTGACATGCCAGGTCAGGAGATATTTCAACTTGCAACAGCCCAGGAGATGATCTCTGCACTGCAGAGTGCACTGCTGGACCCAGGCCCTGCGGGTCGGGCCATGCTGGCTCAGCTGCTGCGTGAGGCAAAAGTGCCCACTTGCCTGGCCTCTCGTGCAAGCCTCTCACAGGTGGTTAGGGAAGAGTGAATAGTTTAGCCCGTAAATTTGGCCCATGTAGCTGCTCAAGATCTTGTTATCATCATGTTTGGGCAGTGAGACTTGTACACTTCTGGCTCGCATCTAAACCAGGCAAAGCAGACACAGACAGCTGCAGATTTTTCCGGATGTACATTCGTGGCTGAGGCTGAATTACTACGAGCTGGCCAGGCAGTTTGACTTTGAGGCTCAGGTCGCTTGCCAAGAGCTTCTTGCCGTCCGTGGAGGCATGCGTGTTCTGTCAAAACTGTGCCACTGGAAGGTTTGCTGCATGTCGGGCTCAGAGACACTCCCCGACAGCAAAAAAGAACTAGCCGGAATCCGGACACATTCGCTGGAGGCTTCATACTTCAAACCCTTTTGAACTCACGGTTCAGATCATTCTGCATGCTGCCCGAAGCAAGAATCAGATTGAACAAGCGGTGCGAAACCATGAGCTAAGCGCCCCAGTCTTGCAGCAGCTGTGTGGAAAAGGGCTGGTTTTACCATGGGCCTCCGTTTGTTACAAACGCTTGCAGGCACAACATGTGGTAAATCCGCGGTGTTCCTCCCACCATTTACTGTGGGGAATCCCAGCCATGGCCTATGCAGCTCCACCCGCCTCACCGACCGGTCGAGCTGCTGAGGCTGGGTGGATAAGGCAAGAGGCAAGCCTGCCCAGCGCATAACCGTGTAAGAGCCTGCAGCAAGGCCAAACCAGGTATGAAGCATGCAGTCTCATCATTTTTGACCGACTTCACCTACAAGTAAATCTTTGATGGACAAGGAACCTTGCTGACAGCAAGGAATGAACCCCATGCTGCAGTACTTCTGGCCCATAAGTATGCTCCCAGAACTCAAAAAATCCTCACATGTTCCAAATGCTGGCCAGACAGAACTGTTCGGTGTTGGTGAGCCCATCACTGGAGCAGGGGACAGTGCCCCTCCAGCTAGGTAGAAACCGAGATCGAAGACAATGGAGCGGCAGAAGCGGATGAAGAAGAAGCTGAGGATCCGTCACATGGCTAATTTGGGGGTTCCCCAAATTAGGGGAACTCTTTGGGAGGTCCATATAGTAATAAGGATTGTAGTATTTTCGGGTCTATGTTCGGGTCCCCCTCATTAGGGAAACAACCCATTTGTTCCAGAACGTTCTATGTCCGTGTGCTCGTTCATGCTGATCTGTGTGGGCCACGGCGGAGGGCCTGTCCCGACAGTTGTAGCAAGTTAGTGCAGTCTAGTGTAGTTGTAGAGATGAGTTGTTGTCCTCCCGAGAGGGCTGAGTGTATGATGGCATTGTTGTGAGCGTCCTCGGGTGCTTGCGGGATGCTTGACGGGCTCAGCTCGTTTCACATGTATAGCGTGCCCTTGCTGCGCAAGACCCTCTGGATGGCACGGCAGAGAGAGAGAGAGAACCCATATGTTGCACAACATGGATAGCAGGGACTACATTCCCTGATATATCCCCTTATTCCCTACTTTAAACCCAATACAGACCCTACTCTAATGTAGTAGCTTCCATTTCCTTTCTCATTCTTCCTTATATAACCCCAAAGTAGTGGTTCGTTGGCTTTGCAGCACCTCAAAGCATTGTTTGGGTGCCCACCCTAAAGCTTAAAGCCTAAACCCTAAAGCTTAAAGCCTAAACCCTAAACCAAGGTTGCCAGCCAGCGAAGTGGACGAGGAGTTGGTCCCAGAGCCAATGGAGAGGCAGTCTGAGCTTTTGGAGAGCTATAGTCTAAACTCCTTAACAGGGCTAAATAAGGAATTATATAGGGTTTCTATTATTGGGCTTATTTAGGTGGATACTGGGTTTTTAGATTATATCTCATAGAAATCTGCGTGTATATATATATATGTACATCTATCTATATATCTGTTTATATCTGTATCTTGTATTATAAAGAGATATTGACCCGAAGAATGGAGAATCAAGTGCACAAGAAAATTGAAAACAAAATAGAAGCTACAATTTAGGGTGATGTTATAGATACTGGTACGACAGCTAGCACAACTCCAAACAAGCTGCTGCAAAGCTTCCTTGGACAGGGCAACACCCTCCGAGGGCAGCTCGCTGGCCTCTCAGAACCTTACCGTATGGATTAGGGATAGTAATATTAATGATTGTAGTACTTGTATTCAGAATAGTATTAATATAGCAATAAGAATAGTAATGAGTACATGCATAAGCGCTAGCGCGCATCCGCCTTGGCAGCCGGGCTGGCAAGGAGGCCGAGACGTTGAAAGCAAGCAAGTCTTACAAAGTAAGAAGAGTCTGGCAAGGCTTGGGGCGTAGGGAGGGAGAGGAGGTACGGGAGGGGTGGGAGGGGCAGGAAGAGGGGGAGAAGGCTGGATCCTAGTCAGCTTTTCCAGACGCTTGTCAGCCAGAGGCCGAGGCGAATAAGGTGCATGTGGGGGTTTATGAGGATATACATATAGCTTGGGGAAATCTGAGGTTCAGGAGTATCATCCCCATTAATGTAAGTTACTGTATAGGATGATGGTTCAGCAAACTGCACCGATCTGAGCTCAAGTGGGAGAGCATGGAAGGACGGCTCGGACAGCGGACTACACGGTGCCCGAACAAAGCAAAGAGGCCCCTAGCATGTTTACTCTAAACTCCTTAAAGGGATTATAGGGATTATATAGGGACCACTATTGGGGTTATTAAGGGGGAGACTAAATGTTTAGACTATAGCTCATGTCAAGCATGTCTCCTCTACCTTGGAAGAGTTGGCATTCAGAGGTTTGGAAGCACTTTGGGTGCGACACCGAGGCAAGAAGGGACCCATCGAAAGTGAAGAAGTTAAGACTCCGTGTGCCATGTGGTACAGGCTGGGCGCATGCTACGAAGGCTCTACAAGGGGGCCGCTGCCTCAGCCACACGCAGAGCCTTGTCAGACTGAGCCAATTGTGATCCCTCAGAAAGTTTATTGCCAAGTCAAAAGGAGGGCCCAACAACTCGGGCAACCAAAAATCAGAGAAAAAATGACTGCATATGATCCTAAGTTCTCCTTCAACCTCTTGAATCCGCATGAAATGGCTGAGAATGCATCTGTATTTGCCGTCACGTGGCAGCCACGCATGCCAACATATGAAGAGGTGCTCAGGATACACCTCTAAAGCCCTACACATCCAACAACCTCAAAGCCTGATGCCTCAACTCCGAAAATGCTGAGGCTGGCAGCCGTGAACTGGGGTCGAAGGTTGCGTACCCGCAGCTCGCCGCACCAGCAAAGCGCAGGGAACTCAGCACAAATCATTTTCTGGCAATAGAGCCAGGGTGCAGAAACGATGGCGTTGTTTTGGTTCTTGGGTCGGATTCAGGGCCATGCAAAGCTGGAAAATAATTGGTTAAAAAACCAGATGCCCTCGTTCAATTCCATGCTCTGCTTCAATCGCTAAACCATGCACGGCGAGACTTCTCAAAAAACTGCGGATCCATGTTGGGGGAATTTTTCTATAAGTATCGCATAACTTTGCGGTACGCAAGGGCGACACCTGTTTTGGGAAACATGAAAAGATCCTGACCCCATATAGACTCGAAGCTCTGAGACCCAGACCCTACATAATTTTAGCAATCTCAAATCTGATGCCGTGCGGCACGCTGAACCCTAAATCCCCGCACCTCACATGTGAAAAGCAACCTTCCAAACCATAATCTTCAAGTTTCTTGCAGGCTGGGAGCCTCCACCCAGAGCAAAGCCCGCTGCACCCAAGGAGCGACTTCTGATAGTACATGTTCCATGAGATCTAGGGGGTTTTCAAGAATGAAGGATGTTTCTGGGAGGTCCTGGGATTATGCGTTGCGTTTGGGCACACACGCTTTAATCCTATTTTTTAGCAACTACCAGAAGGGGGCCTGTACAAGGATGCTGCAGGGAAGACTTGGGAGTTGTAGATTATTTGCACAAGAGAAGACCCTTCCATCCCCTTCGTATGTCCGCTCGATTTTGGGAATGTTTAGGCTTTTTGTGTGTCAAGGCTCCTGGCTGTTTCCTTTGAACCTTCCGGGATGATTGTCGCAGATCTACGTCATGGAAGTCGTTTCTAAGTGCGACTGATACGGCAAAGGATTCAAAGCGGCTACACAGGATTGAGTCCTGGGTTGCTTGGGTCCCCATGATCAGGGCTTTTGCGTTTGAGGAGTGCAATGAAGGATCTTGGGTTGAAGGAGTACCAGAAGTGACAGGCTACAAGCGTGCTATATGTTCTTTCCGTTATGAAGGGCAAGCTTTCACGGTTGCTCTAAGTTCTCATCACGATAGTGATTTTGGTTGGCTGTGGCGACCGTTCGCTGCCTGCATAAGCCAACCTCACCATGTTCACTTGCATAACGGGATTATGTGCCCGCACATGGTCCACTTTCACCCTTTGGCAGCAGGCATGGCAAGCACGGTAGAAGCCCAGTACCAAGACTCACTTTTCAGCCAAGGATTACCGAACAAAAGTGGCATGAAGACTAGCTTCCAAACATGCAGCAAAAACTGCTCTCAGCCAGAACAGCATTACTAGAGGGTGCAGTCTGCATGCGAGTTGAGTGTTGTGGCTCATTCATTCGCAGGCGGTGGTTCGTGTGCCACGCGCAGTCGCGCCAAGGCAAATATCCAGCGTTTCATGGGGGTCTGCTTGGAATTTACATCCCGGGAAGTTTGGGGGGGAACGCACGGTGCACCGAGATAAAAAGTATGGCAGAGTGACTGCTATCAGAAGGGGGATAATGCGCGTGCTGCTGCAAGAACAACACTAGCCAGCGGAAAGGAAGCTGACTTTGAAGCTTCCGAAGCTTCATGCTGGTCCTCAACCCCTGACACGGGGCCCGGGCAGTGTTTTTGCATGCCATGGTACATGTCCACAGCAATGACCATCGCATCTGCCTCTGCCATGGCTGTGGCAGTTGCTGCTTCGAGTATTGAAAATGTTTTTGTTTCTTGCTTTTGCTGTGCATTTTCTGGTGGATGACGACTCTTGTCCTTCCTGCCCATGCCGCAAAACTTCCAACCCGCATTGCTGTAAGCAGAGAATCAGGGGCTGGAGACCCCAGCAGCAGTCCCGATAATGATGCATGGAGGACTCGCTCATTTCTTCCGTGGCTTGAAGAAGCCACACCATGGCAGGCGCGACATGGACGATCCACGGCAGTGGCCTGCAGCTCCCATTCCATGCAGGCAGCAGCCTCAAGAGCATGCAGCAGAGTGTGGGGCGGGGGTTGGGTGGTTCAGTTTTTAAGTGGATTGGATCGAGCACCTGCTATTTGTCCATGAGTACTGATATGAGTTTGTTGGCTTGAACCTTGTTGGCAGTTGCAAGACTAGCTTCCTCCCACCCCTCTGATACGCTTGGTTGATGTGCAAGGAGACCTGCTCGTGAAATCCTCGCCGAGCTGGAGGCATCTTCATCCCAAAGCAGACCTGCGTTTCCTTTGGCCATGCAGAATACAGATGCATGGCCATAGGTACCCTCGTCGCACCAATAATGGCGAACTCGCAATAAACTTTAAGCCCCCCCCCCTTGTTGATCAACATCCTGGGGACCATCCCACTTCAAGTTGATTATAAGCCATGCCCCCTATCCGGATGCTTCTGGTACCAGCTGCCTCGAAAATGGATTTTGGGCTGGAGTTTCATAATTGCAGAGGGGTCTATACTTGTGAGGTCAACATTATCCATGTATGAAAAGAGAGAGAGTGAAAAGAGAGAGCGAGAGAGGGGAAGGGGTAGGCCCATGCAGGACACCAGAAGTACATCCGATAGTTTGACAAGATTGTGTCGGCCCTACTCCTCAGTCTGGCAGGCAGAGGAGGCGCGCAGACGCCGCGAACAGCCTGACCTCCCAAGGGGCAAAGATTTGTATTCTGAAAAGCAGAACCTACAGGCGTGGCTTTCCTGGGATCACTTCCGTTCTTTGGCACAGTCCCAACCGCAATCCAGACTTGTAGGATCGATTTCGCTACTGCGGCGGCCGGATGCTGCCTAAAGGCAGCATGGGATACGTGGAGCCGGGCAGCGTACCACCAATTGGTGGAGCGGCAGAGGCAGTGGCACAGCATAAAGCACTGTGAAGCTTCCGTGGCGGCCCTTGGTTAGCTCATTGGCGGTAAAGATCAGACATTCATGCTGCACCCTGGGGTCACGTGGCAGGCTGCCTCGCGTCGCGAAGACAGACGAAGGCTTGATGAGCTGCCTGGTTGCAAGCTCCTCCTACTTGCACCCTCCAGTCCCACAGCTGCTTGTGTGAAAAGGAATGGGTTCAATGGTGAGCAGAGGGAGATCTTCGAAGATCTCGTGAGAGCAGTGCAGCGCAAGCAGGTGGGAGACCAAGAAGTGCATGCCATATGACACAATTTTATGAATAAGAAGTTATGTAGCTGTCCCAGGTGAGGCTGGTAAATTCAGCGATCAGCATCTTCACAAATTCGAGTACTCACAGTAGTCAAGTAGCCGCAAGGGCAGCAGTACATACAACACTTGCTGAAACTCGTGCCATGGCTTTGCACGGAAGGTCATCAGCCCTTCTTAAGTATTTGATTGCTGATACAAGCACAAGAAAGACCTAAACAAGATCCACGAGATTGGCAGAAACTATCTCAAAACTCGGCTGCCGGGCACTTGATCCTGACTCTGCATTTGACCAGTTCGGCTTTCCAAAAGGCAATGTACATGGAGAGGCAACTTCCCAGAACCAAGCGCACTACTGTCATAACTATTTGATTAGCACCTCTGCTCAGGCACGCATCGCGCAGATCGATGACGAGCAGCTATCAGACCCCAAGCCCAGCAAGGCAAAAACGGCCCGGAACAAGGAGGCACGCCATAGCTCATTTGGAGCTGTCCAGTCATCGCTTGTGCTGAGGATCTTATGGCAGACTAGATAAACGGACATGGGGTGGAGCAGTTCTCCCAAGCAAAGGTGATAGCTGTGGACCTGAGGGGCTTGTCGGCAGTAGGATTTTGCGCTGCGTCACGAGGGCCCTTGAATGAGTGATCATAGCGAAGTGGAATGTTTTGTACGTAACCAAGAGAGAGTTGTTGCGGAGGCCTTGGAACTCCGAAATGCGATCGAGCGTGTGGATCTCAGAAGTTTGTCAGGTCTTCCCGTACAATCACATTGGCATCGACAAGCGAACAGTCTCCTTCATCCTAGTGACCACAAAGGGGGCTGAGTCGCAGCGCACAAACTCCCACAGCCATTGCACAGTAAAAGTTGAGGGCAACCCACCTAAGATATGTTTCCCAAATGAGGTTGGGGTTCGGCGGCGCAAGCCTATGTCGAAGCTTCATGTATCTGGTAGCCAACATTTGTCGGTAGGATTGCAGGCATGAAGTGAGTTGTCTGCAATGGGGGTCCTTGGTGCAGATCAGGATTCCTGACAAAACGCCGAAGATGCTTCTGCATTGCAGACGTGACTGCATATAAAGCTAAAGGACATCCATCCAAGCATGCCATATTCAGCACTTGCACAAGGTGATCTCAAAGACATTGAGACTTTGATGAGCTTGGCCGAGGGGGCAAACAAGGCCTCGCCTTGACCGCAGCCGAGCCAATGTGATGGAGCTTTTCAAGTACGATTGGAAAAGGATGTTTGCATTCTCTGCGAAGCAGAGATTTTCCCATCTGCATGAGGAATGGTTACCTGAAATGGCTCTCCTGGACCCCGTACAAGCATGAGGGCCGGACAAAACCAAGTCTGGCTACTCGTCGTAGCAAGTGCATGCGGCTTAAGGAAGCCTTTGCAGGTTCGAGGTCCACGTCTTCAAGCAAATGTAGGATGAGGTGAGAAGCGCATGCTTGCATGGGCCGGGGAAAGGATAGCACGACAAGAATTTGGATGCAGTTGTGCATGCGAAAAGCCTGCCTTGGTGCACTGCCCTTGAACATGTGCTGCTACTTTCATCTAGCCATGCCA